TCCTCTTGGTATTCCCATACTTCCCCAGATTTCTTGGAATGTTTGCTCTGACAGGTTTTTAATTTAACTGCCAATATAACAAAGTGTCTGGAGAGCAATYGGTTGAGGTATGCAGGAGATGACTCTCAGTATGATTCATACTGCTGGGAGTGAAGGAGAGCTCTGTCTAGCCTTATGTACTGCAGTGATAACAGATATTGGATGCAGTGTGTACTCAGATAAAGTTAATGGCAGTGACATCTGGTAGATGACACAGAGGAGCAAACTCCTATCATCTGTTTTTTTACACTCTGTGCCCAAACCATTATATGTCAGACTTGGTAAAAGGGAATAATCTTTCAGCATCTACCACTCTTCCCTCCCATGCTCTCAGTCATACTAGACTGAAGGACTATTAGATAAATTGCCACCATACATTTACAAAGGTAGCAGAACTAAAAGCAGCTCGGGAAAAAGGATTCAAGTATGTAGCTCATTAATAGTGGCCTTGCCGATACTTAGCATTCCCAAAGCACTCCACAGGCATAACAAAAGCTTACAGAGTCCTTTACTTTCCAAGTGCTTAACCAATATATATATATTGATAAGAGCTTTCCCAGAAGTGAATGGAATGTCCCTGAGGTGACATTCAAATGGCTGGGCCAACAGAGGTAGGTAAGCTTCAAATATTTCATTAAACCTTCATCCTTTGCTATGAATTTTAAGTCCATACAGAAAAACAAATTCATGGAAAGTACACTGGAGCTTTCTGAGTATAAAAGAATATGTGCTTGCAAAATGAATTCCTCTTTTATGATTATAGTGCTCATTAGATTGCATATTCTGTGACATGCAACAAGTGAATTGTACATAAAGTGAAATGAAAATAAGAATTTTTACTATACTGATGCCACCTAGATGACTACTTCAAAGCCACCGGTCATGCTTGCCACTGATGTGCTTTGGCATACATCTTGGTTTGGGGTCTTAATTAAAACATTAAGAATAGTTTGGTGAACTTAATTGACAATACATTTAGAGTTCTAGATAGTGGTAGTTTGTTAGGAACTGAAAAATCTATCCAAATTTTGTAAAGGCAAAAAAAAAAAAAAAAAGACAAATACACTTTTCAGGGACAAATTCACATTTTGCAATTATAAAATGCAGACTACTCCAAGAGGTTCTTCATGTTAATAAAATGTAATTATATTTGTCATACTCTTTCGGATGAAATCCAAAGAGCAAATGCGTAAGGTTTTAATTCCAAGTTTATCATATTTTCTTAGAATTACTGAGCCCGGTGGCCCCACCATGCTTATGGTCTAATAAGATATTAGGATGTGTCTGTTGCTACACACCTAGCCTAGGAAAATCACGTTAGCCTTTGTAGTTGCAGGAGGGTATTTGTTAATTTTGAAGCAAGGGTACCACTTGGTGTGCATATTTGCAAGCCAAAGCCCATAGTAACAATTGTGAATTATGAAAAATGTCTTTAAGTTACATGTATATGCAGTATACATAAGATAAAACATCTCTATCAACATATTAGAGTGTCCCTGGTGTTCTCTGACTCCTCACTGSCTAGTAATTCCAAAATACCAAGCAGATCACAATTTCAGACAAAGTAAAGCAGTATTACCCTGAAGTTTTAGACATTTCCTCGTAGCTAACAGTGTTCTGAAATACCAGCTTACACATAGCTTCAGCCAAGCCACGAAAGCATCATCGCAGGAGACCAGGTCATCGTAGGAGACCAAAACCCACTAAGTGTCAGGTATGCCTGATCTTACTATAGGCTCTGCACTTAATTTTGGGTTCTGGTGCATTATGTCTGCTGCAAATTCTGCATGCCTGCTGTATTAGGTAGTAGCAGCTGAATGGAGACAGGATCTTTCCTGCCCCTCTCTGCCCCTTGCTTGTTATGGCAGAATTACTGCCAACAGCCTGTCTGGCATCTCTGCTGCTGAGCAAAGAGGCTGCTGAGCAAAGACGACAGTGAGTGACTTGGCACTAATCAAATATGGAAACCCATTTCCCAGGAAATGACATTTCCTGGGAACCACAGCTCCCCAAACCATTAAACATGTAACCCTCCTGGTTTGGGTAGATTTCTTTTCTAAGCTGTGCTAAGCAATTCTCTAGGTGATGCTCAACATATCTATGACACCTATAAATCAGATCAAACACAAATGAAGACATTTTGGTTTAAAAGCACTTGGCTTACCTAACTCCTGGCTAACTGGTTTCTATAAGATCAAATTTCATTTTTATCAGGTCAAATTCTATTATACAGAAAGCTAAGCTTAACTAAGTCTCCAGCTTAAGTTATGACAATTTTCCATATTCACTGGATACTATGGATGCTGGTGAGCAGAGATGTAGAAGTGAAACAGATAAACAAAATTTATTATTAYCAAATAAACAAATAAATAAATAAATATTGAGTGCAAGAATACTTTTTTCAGGTACTTTTTCACAGAATCCTATAGCCGGGCTTCTTAGAAATAAAAAACCTCTTCAGTTATGGCTTCTGAAAGTCCCTATTAAAAAAAAAACTTTGCAAAAAATGTCATTTCCCCCCCGCATATGCAGCATAGGAAATATAAAGAAATGTAAGCTGAGGGGGGCTGAGGCTCAAGTATGAGTATGACGGGGGCACAGGCTCAACTGAGAACTGGGGACAGCTCACTGCTTCTAGTTACCATGCAAATATGGTATTTGCATAAACAAAAGTCAAGTACATGCAAAACTACCTATCTGTCACTTTACTTGGGCTCTGAAAGCACAAATAAGGTTAATCTTAGATTTATTCCCTGCTGCAAATTGTCTGAACTTCTTGAAATACTCTTCCAATTTCCAAATACTGTAAGAATTGTTTCTTTTAAGCACTTTGTTTTATTTCAATTAAAAGTTCCATTCAAGTCAGAATGCGTTTGTGCTTCTTCTATTTTACAGTATATACTTTGGTACTAGACGCAGCTCACATTGATCAATACTTATTTCAAGTCACTTTAACACTGTTTTGTATTCGCAGGGTATGGACTTTATGAAGGAACCAAGGGACTAAGCCAGTCTGTGACTGTGAGTGAGCAAGTTCAATGTTCTGTTGTCCAATGCAAATAAAAGCCTACTCTAGTCTATACCATATTATCAGTTATGTATGGGAATATTGTTATGTTCTAAAATGTTAAATTTATACTAAAAAGGATGATGTTAAGTTCTGTTTTTGGTCTATATTTTATGTTTTATGTTTTCTGCAACAGCAAAGCAGTAGGCACATTGATATTACACTACTAGAACAGAAGCTCTGGTTATGGAATTMAGAGTTAGTGACATTTAATTTGGAAAGATTAAATACTTTGATTTCACTTTTTTAGCTCTCCAGTATGTCTGGACTTTGAAAGTATAAGGTTTTTGAACTGCAAACATTTTTAGTATTTTCATCTTTGGCTCTCAAAATGGAAGAAAAATACATTGTATAGTGTGGTTACCAACATCACAGGCAATTACAGTTAGAGAGTCCTGCACATGGTGTCCCAAAGAAAAGAAAATACCATGCAGGATAGCCTCAGTGTAGCAGTGGCTTTCAAATTAACAAGAAGCAGAAGAAGTAGAACTGAAAACATGGTCTTCAAAAACTTACACTACAAAAAGCAAGACTATAGAATCTATCACCTTTTAAAACCTGAGTGGGCAGTGTGGTACTGCTGAAAATCAAAAGGAGGAATGAAAACAATTATTTGCTGAATTTTCTCAACTTGTATTCTGAATCCAATATTCAGGTTTTCATTACCTGTATTAAGGAAAAATGTCAACCAAAGATTGTCTTTTCAAYTACAGAAGCAGAAGTTGGAGTACAAAGCAGTTTATTAGCTAAATCAAACAATGAGGAAGTCAGGCTTAGATTTATTCTCCTCTCACTAGAGAATGAGGCATGCTGTGCACTCTGCCTATTACGAGTTGGCAGAAATTATCTAGCAATCAAAAGGAAAAATAAAGCTGAGCGGGAAATGTTCCTATAGTAAGCAAGAAGGTGGACTTGTTGGGATGAAGAATCCGCAAAAGTGTCTTGTGTATATATATCTACTAAAGATGGTGGCATAGCGAGGAAAATTATTTTCAGTTCAATCAAATCAATGATTATTATCGTACAGCATTTCAATAAAACATTATTTCAGTGAAGATCTGGAGAGAGAGTCCAGCGCAGGGCTACGAGGATGATCAGGGGCCTGGAACATCTGCCATATGAACAAAGGCTGAGAGAGCTGGGCCTGTTCAGCCTGGAGAAGAGGAGGCTGAGGGGGGACCTGATCAGCGTGTATAAATACCTCAAGGGAGGCAGTGAGGAGGAGGGGGGTGGCCTCTTTCAGTGGTGGGCAGGGATAGGACTAGAGGAAATGGCTTCAAACTGAAGCATCGGAAGTTCCACAGGAACTTAAGGAAGCATTTCTTCACTGTGAGGGTGACAAAGCACTGGAACAGGCTGCCCAGAGAGGTTGTGGAGTCTCCTTCTTTGGAGATCTTTAAAACCCKCTTGGATGCAGCCCTGTGCCACGTGCTCTAGGTGACCCTGCGTGAGCAGGGGGGTTGGACTCGATGACCTCTGAGGTCCCTTCCAACCTTYGGCATTCTATGATTCTATGATTCTATGATCTGCCATTACCTTCATACACAGACAGATGTGCCTGAGATGCAAATATTCAAAACTATGATGGCCACAAAATGCCTACAAGCACACTGTTTTTTTAATACAAATGCAAATTTAGGTATATAGACTCTACCAATTCAAGAAAAACTCAAACTCATGAAAATTTCCTTAATATGTCACTTAAAGTATCAGAAGGATTGATTAAAAAAAWCCTAAAATTAGGATTAATGCAAGACATATTAAAAATGTATCAACCTGAGAAAAGCTGACAGCAGATGAGAACTGTTTTGGAAAGAAAAAAAAAATTGCTGCTTTGACTGTTTGTCCAGCTGAGGGTAAAAGTGTCCCGACAAAACCAAATGATTTCTCCTACCTCTTCYTTCTCAGCGCTTTGCAAGTCCCTCCACTCCTCCGTCACATGCCCGAAGTCCACCGTGTTCATCGCAACTTTATATTCCCCAATGATATCGTGTTTGGAGAAACGATCAAAGTCATAAACTGCCATCACTAAAGTTTTTCCACCCAGCTCCGAGTATGGCACCTGCGGAGGAGAGAAAAATGACAAACGCTCCGACGATAAAGATGAGTCCACTACAATGCAAATCTATTTCTTTGCTTTATCAGCTGTCATCTCAGGTAAATTGAACTGCAGGGAAAATTATGGGGCGTATTTGTTTCAGCATCACCAGCTGCAGCATTTTTTGCGGCTCGGCTATGGCACTCAATAGAACAACGTGGCAGCTCACTCATCACTCCCAGAGTTTTTTTCCATTCTAGTCCAAATTATTCTGTGGGTGATGAAACTGAAAGAGGAAAGCCCAATTATTTGCACCTAAGATACATGAACTTTCAACACAGGAGTATTTTTTCCTCTATAAATCAACTGTCAGCACTTGGAAATGGCCAGCTCACAGACTGATATAAAAAAAAMCCCAGAATTGGCTTACTGTATCCAACACAAGCTAATTAGACATTGAATAGTTTCCTTACAGTACAACTACCTATTACTTGCCAAGGCATATTTTTCATTATTATACCTTTCACGCTGCAGACACTAAGGTTTGTTCTAAGTCACAGTGTGGAGTTAGAAATTGTGATGCCAGAAAGCCAAGTTCTGACTAATTCTCCAGCTGTTCTGACGTTCTCCGGACAGATGCTGTAGGTTAAGATGTTTATGAGTCACATTCTTAATATTCAGACAAAGCTGTGCARTTCAGGTAAGCTACACTTGAGTGGCTGTCTGGAAAAGTCTGATTTAGGAATTATTTGGACTTAACATTGAACACTTGGTCAATTTGAATATATTTTGCAAGTAGAAATCATTTCCATGGGCTTCAGTAAACATTTATTTATTAATTGTCTATATTAAAAGAGAAATGAAAGCGTGGCATTATCATTGGCCATGCTAACAGCTATATGTTCCGGTCTATTTAAATCCTGGGAACCTCAAACATTTTGTTACTGTTAGACTTCAAATTGCGTTTTAAAATGCTAACCAATAAAAGAAGAAGTTTTTCTATTTCATGTTACATAATGTTCACAAGAAACTTTTAAAATTGAKGGCCAGCTCTAGTTTCCATTACTGCGTACAATCATTCTAGGAGCTGCAGGGTTGAGTATTATATTAAAAGGAAATAAATACTACGGTAAAATTTATTTTGATTACATAAATTAATTACATAATTAGCCTTCKGAAAAGCTATAGAAGACAAGTGTATATAGAAGACAAAAATCTGAACAGTTTCACATGCATTTTACATCGCATTAAAACTAGAGACGTAAATCGTCTACTAAAGACATAAAACTAGAAACGTGGGGTTTGGGTCTCGAGGTGTAGCAAAGCAGAGAAATRGCCCACCTCTTCCTCCCCAGCCTTTCACTGAGGATGAAGGCAGATGGATCCCACCTGAGAGCCTGGGAGTGGGCTGCAGCATGGAGCTGGGGTGCCCCATTGGTGGAGCTGGGGTGCCCCATGGACAGCTTTGCCCCAGAGAGGGGTAGGAGGGCTCCCGAGAGGAGCTACAAACTGTGCAAATGACTCAGATGAGTAAGGCAGTGCCTCAATAAATAAAAGTGGTCCCCAAACAAGCTATTTATTAATGCTGCAGCACCAGTTCACTGGTATTCTTGGTCACTTATCTTTTTTAGTACAGTCCCTGGAAGAATGATAGTACTTGGCATGTTCGATTTACTTTCTCCTGAGTACAGAAAGCAATATCCAGGGGATGATCAGTACCCTACTGGGATGTACCTAAACACCRCTGCCAATTCTTGCTTAGAAAGCTGTAATTTTCTTCTGAAGAGTAAAATCTGAATATCAGAGATGTGACTTCAAACAAGTGGACATTATAGCTCAGGAGTGGATGCTCTGATTTATAATTTGTGCCATCATTTTCAATGACAGGATTATTGGTTATTTCTTTTTCTTCATTTGTTTGTGTGTGCTGCACTGGAATCTGTAATTTATAACTCTGTTTTCTTTTAAATACTCTCTAAGGAAAGCTTAAGGGAAGAAATACCTCTCCACAAAAAGATTATTTTTATGAACATCTTCAAGGGAAAAAAACAAGCTTATGTATTCAGTAGTAGTTGTGACCTCCAGGGATATCTCTCTCATTGAATGATTACACAGCCTGAGTCTTTCCCTGTTCCTGTTTTCAATCTGCAGCTGTCATTATAAGACTGGGCATACAGTGAAAAGCCTAAAGTAACAGCAGACAAATGTATATTAGGAAAAGCCCATTGAAACATGCTGAATTTCACTCTCTTCTTTTTTTTTTTTTTTTTGAATTTAACTGGAGTTTAGGCATAGCTACAGTTTTAGGAAGACACTATTCATAGGTACTATCAGAAGAACTTAAATATTACAATATATAAGCTTAACTATATTTATTTAATACTGATATCATTAACTAGACTCACAATTTCTTTTTATATGTAAAGTAGCATGGTAAAGAATTGATATGACAGGAGTATAGCAAGATTAATCTGATGTGCTTTCCTTCATCCATTTGCCTTCCCTGAGTTTTAATTTATTTTTGAGGGAAAAAGAAATGGTTTACTGAAATTCATAAATCAGACAACAAAGATATTTAAAGAAAATGCTGGTTTAGTGAAATTCACCTGACATTTGTCAAAATGTCACTCTTTTCCTTTTTTCATATAAGTGGTCTCCAACATATGAATCACACTATCATAAATCAGAATAGCTCAAGCCTTTTACATCTACTGAGGATCCACCCCTGTTTTATACCATTCTCATCATTAGACTGAATATTAGGCATTTCTGCAACTGAAAAATTCACTATGCCCTGGTTACCAGTAAACTAAAATATCTTAACTTTGAAGTTGAGTGTGAGATGACTTGTTAGTATGCAGAGTGATTAAAGAAAGATGTTTCAATAATTATCAAAAATACCTTGAATGTAAACTGCTCATTGAAAACAGGATTAAGGGTCTTTCTGTGGACTTTTGTCTCGTATTTCTTCTTCTTATCAGGCAGAAGGAAAACTTTCACATAGGGATCAGAGGTACCACCCATATCTAATGCAGGCAGCTCAGCTGCTTGAATGATCCCAACCAAAAGCTGAAAAGAGAAAAAAGAGCAAAATGTAACTTCAAATAGATATTAATAAAAAATATTTAACAGAAATACACACACACACATGCTTTTTCTGGTCTATGAAAAAGTGTTTTGCCCCCTTCTAAGGAAATTCTTCAAGAAAGGGAAATGAAGCAAAGTTGTAGACTACAAAACCAATTACAGCAGATGCAGACTCTACAAAGGCCCCTTTTAAGCAGAAAAGAGATTTTTAAAGGGCTGCTGATTACAGCTAAATACATTATTAATCTTTTTAAATACTGCAATCAAATAACTTTCAATTGTCATTGCCTCTCGTGCATTATTTTCCTATGGTGGGCACCATGAATAGAAATCACATTATTAAACAATCAAGAACGTGTAATTTTAACTACAAAATTTCACAGAACCCCCACCCTCAAGCACAAGAAGGAGATGTAGAAAGTACAAATATTCAGGTAGAGCTCTACACGTGAGTCTTGCAGTCTTCCTCATATTTCCTTTGTTATATACATAAATGAGCTTAAGTGATTACTTATGGATAAAGTCTTCAAAAAAAAAAAAAATCAAGACTAGCTTTTGGTAACTGAGTTCCAATATCACTTCTTCATTTCATTGCARGATGGGAATACTAGTTTCTTAAGCAACTTTTTAAAAATAGGACGGAAGTACATTTGAACGTTTTAAATGCTGTGGCCATTTTTGAGTGTTATAAACGAAGGCTCATATTATTCTAAACTAGTCACTAATACAGCTTGTATTACAATAATATGTAGACCTCTCAGCCTATGTTAGGCCTCATCAGAACAAGGGAGGAAGAATGTATTTTTAATCCTCATTTCGTCTACATGGAGCTCATATAAATATTCAAGCGACTTGTTAAAGTCAATCTGAAAACAAGAGAATAAGAACTGGGCACTAAATCTGAGAAAAGGTTCTTTTCAATCAGTGCTTCAGTCAAAACATGCTTCTCTCACGGAAGAACTGTTTAAAATTGGAAACAGAAGATCCAAAAGCTGGACTACAGAACACTTGTCAAGCTATAAAGAAGTTGCTATGACTTCCTGAAATTCTTTAAAGTTGGATTTATCTCTGCCAGTTTTAAATTCAGAGTATGGTCTGCATGCCTTCCTGCCTGTGGACCCTTAAGCTCCATGATGTATTTTTCTGTATCTGTATCAAACACCTTGCCTTTTTCTCTCTCATTGTTATTCTAGATGCAAAATTGTTCATAAATACATTGATAGGTTCAGGATCTATGTAAGTCTTTCACATCAAAGAGTGAAAAACAAGTCTGTGACTTTAAAGTTACATTGGAAAAGCAATTCACCTCCCTTAGAAATTTTTTCTCCCTAAAGCTGAAGCATCATGCTCCAGAGAGTACTTCGGCCAGCTTGCCTCCATTTATAACTCTGTGCAACATACTGAACAATAACTGAATTTCTGGTTTGTATTTTCATGCCACCATGCTATACTAACCTAACAGAATCTCCTGTTTTACTCTTTTATATTATCTATCCCCAAACTCCAGAGTGCAAGCCAGTTTAGGGCAACAAAATAAAATAAGAATTCACAACTCGAAGAATTTATTTCCTTAATTAAATATTACACATTTCTACAGAGTTGTTGCTCTCCCATTCTATTTCCTTTTGCATAGTTCTCAAAATCAACATGACATTTCCTTTAATGAAATTCACACAGAAAGCTTATTTTTATATGCTAAGGAAACTAAAATCCATTTGTCAGAACACATTTGCAGCTTTTCCTTTCCCCCTTTAGTTCTTCTGCTTTTGAAGGATCTAACATTTCACACCAATTTCAAGGGGGATCAGTGTGACTCATCACATGGACAGGAAAAAGGATTTTGCTGAAGATTTTGCTTTGGGAGTTGAGGAAAAGCTGCTTTAACCATAGGTTCTTGAAAGGCTTCTGAATTCTTTTTGTCTCTTGGTTTGACAAACAAGCATGGGTAGTTAGTAGACAGTTGAAAATATGGGGAAATGCTATGTACTGTGCCAGATCATGGCTGTCTGCAAATACACTACTGCTAASGTAGAAAATTTTCTTAATTTCCCTTTCTGTTCTTTGCCTTGCACCAAATGAGTGTACTGCATTCCACGAGCAACATCAAATGAAGGCTCTGAATTCATACTGTGGAAATAAATCACATCAAGAAGTCTGTTCAGAAACAGAGTAGGAATTAAGAGGGACTTAGTTTGGTAGTCATTTCCTTCCTTAAATAGAGAAGAATGATGTGTTTTGGCTGACATTGTTGATWTGTGTTTTCAATTTCACAGGAAGACATGCAGTATAAGTAAGGAAGATGTTTCACTTTCGTCCAAAGTGAAGAACGAGTTTTAATGAGTCTATAAACTGCAGTAATTGCTGAAGGTGGCCTCAACCATGGCAAGAGGCCATGGAGTGGGGTAATCCAGGATGTGACCAGACTTTTTAAGTGGGTTGATTCCATGTTTACAACACTTTAGAGCACCTAAAGCTAGGGAAGTTTGCCAGAGTTTGGTCTTATCCATGTAACATCTCAGCTTCAGAAAGGTACAGAGGAGAACCAGTCCTTGACTAGAGACTCTTTCTGTTCTGTTTGTTGGGAGATAAGTCTTTTTATTTGGTCTCTAGTTTCAAACTAAACATCTGTTGGCTGATAGACGTGTTTTTATGGTGAGCAACAGAATCTGATGCAGCAGGTTAATGAGGCAAAGGGGGCCCTTGATACAGTGACAGGAAGCTACTCCCAGCAGCCTTTTGACCTTGCTAAAAAACCTACGATGAATCACTTCACTTCTGTGTTCTTCTCTTATTCCCCATCTTTTCTTTGCTTACATTTTAACTGCCTAAGGGCAGATGCTRTCTTTTACCATCTGTATGTAGACTACCTAGTATAATGTGGCTTGACATTTATTGGTGACACTTTAATATAAATTATTAATAGTAGTTATATAAAATCATGTAATCAATTTTGATTATAGGTATAATGTAGTCTCAGAATGCACTAAATATCAATTTAGTAGTAATTCTGTCATGAACCATCACAAACCTTCAGTTTTACTTTAACTCACTACTCAGTGCAAAGCATTTCAGAATTATTTACTGCATCTCAATGGCTTACAACACTCTCCCCTTGCCCACACATAAATGAAATGGCATAGACTTTATGTTTCAAACCTGGTTATTCTGGAAGTCATAATCCAAAGAATATTGGATTTTCCCTAGTTTCTCCACTTCTTTGGGTTCTTCTTTCTCTTCCCCATCAGTCAGTCCAGTCTCAGCGTCATCATCCTTAAGAGCCTATGAAGAGGGAAGACAATACCAATAAAAAGGCTAGCTCTTAAGCACCAGTTCCAAATAGACACTGCCCTCAGATCTATTGTAAAGCCAGTAAAAGCAAGCATGACAGCAGAAATCCATATATGCAGTTTATTTATACTATTTCGGTTGCTCAATAAAACTTCAGAACCAGCAAGCAAGCAATGGAAGTAGGAAGAAAGCCTCTTGGAATATTGCAAGCAACAACTGTTATAAACCTGAAAGTAGAAGGAAAATATCAACTTGATATGAAAAAATTCTTCCGGACTCACACTGTCTCTTAAAGAGGCACAAGGAGGCAAACATGCTATTAAATAAGCAAAGTCACATCATTCAACTTACAAATATCTTGGCAATGTCAAACCTAGCTGTGCATGCTGTGAATCATTTGCAACTGGCAACATGTTTCTGTAGGATTATTATGATAAAGACAATGTGCTGTGGATGAGTTCCTCCTACAATCATATGCCAAACATTTTTATGTTTATTTAGAATGAATATGGAAGCAAAGTTATCACCATGCCATTCGCAAATGCATGTTTCTCCTTTTCCCTCCCTCGCAAGACCCATTTCCTTTTTTATTCATTCTCACTATAAAGCTAGGCTGAACCAAATTGATTGAAAACTGATTTTAGTTTGCTTAGAAAGAAACACAGAAGTGAAGAAATATAAAATTGCTTGTAGTTTTGTCTATTACTTGAAACTTGCTACTTTTAAAGGACCCAGTAGTTATATTAGATTCTATGCACAACTAAAATACTAAGTGATATCATCATTCTTTTTTTTTGCTGTACCAGAAAGCAGAAGTGTTTGCACTGTGAAAATGGCAATTTGTACAATTATTACAATTATTAGACCATATGAACAATAACTGTGTAGTTCTTATTCATCCAGATTCTTACTTGAGTACAAACTGAAAAATGGTCCAAAGTGATGAGGTAAAGAGAAAAAAAAAAAAAAAAAAAAAAAAAAAAAAAAAAAAAAAAAAAAAAAAAAAAAAAAAAAAAAAAAAAAAAAAAATTGGAAAATGTGAAAATAAATTTTAAAGAGTGAAAACAAAGAATCAATACTGAGCATTTATCTAGACTGATTATCTGCCTATTACAGAAGGCGATATATGGTTATCTGTAAGAGCCTTATCTGGATGAAAATGGTCTCAGAATGAAGCTTCTGCCTACACAGACAGATTATTAACTGCAAGCATAAGATTTGTTCTGTCTTGTTTTGTTTTTCTTCCTTCACAGTGTTGGATGGTCTGAAGAAAGCTACAGCAGTTAGAAATAACAGGTTGCAGCTACAGCTATGTATCTGAGGAGAGAGGCTGGAACAGAGTGGAAACTTAGTCTAGCCCAGCTTCAGCCATGGTTAATGCTAGTTGGTGAAAGGAAGTAAGAAAAGCGCTAGCAGTCTCACTGAGCCATGAAGACTGTAGGACTTTGCAACAGCGTGGGCAYGGTAAGAGGCAAGATTGATTCCTGAAGAAGAAAACGTTGTTTTTCAGGAGCCAGTTCTAAACTCCAAAGGTCAGACCCAAAATTGCACAGAATTAAGCAATTATTTTTCTACTTTTGAAATAAACTAGAACTTCAGCTGGCACGGCTCAGTTGAAATCAATGGAAAAACATTGATTTACGCAAGCTGAGAAGTGGGGTTAGCGTTAAATATGTGAGTGTTAGTGAATGATGGACTCTTTATCAGGAAAATAAATTACAGTGTATGCAAATGAGATCGGAGAGGAAGGTTTATAGTGGATGAGAATCACCTGTGGTGATTCTGAGCCAAATCATTTCTATTTGGAAGTGCTAAACTGCCTGTAATGAAAGTCATTTTGAGATATTTTAATTGCCGAGCTGCTAGTGAAATCCCTGGCCATAGCAAAACAACACTTCTATTAAGAGAGAAACAAACACGGCACTTCAGAACTGACAGGCTCTAAGGCAGGAGTGAACTGGACTGGAGCAAAGCCAGCCCAAGGCTCAGTCCTTGCAGGACCATGCAGGGGCTTTCRGGTGATGCAGTGAGATGATCATAGCAGACTCCCTCCTTTCACTGGTAATAAAAATAAGTTTTAAGACTCTCTGATCACGAAAAATTATGAAGATGTGACTCAGTGCAACTGAGGCAACCACATCTGTCTCAGTCTGGAGACACTAGGAAGCAATAAGTCACAGTTGGACATTAACTCTGAGAGACACTGCTCTGAATCATGTCAGTATTGCCCCAGGAGTGGACTTCACTGTAGAAGAGTGATTAACAGCACCTGTATAGTTATCCAGACAGAYAGATCCTAGTTGCTGGGATAAGTCCTGGCCTCTCTGCTGCTACATCTAGTGTTGTCATGGGATTTTTTTGAGGGGGACTACTCTACACTCAGTCCTCAGGGATAAAAGGGACCTGCCTCTCTGACAATGCAAAGAGAACCATCAACGCTATTTTCTATGTGTAAGGTATTTGTAAGCTATGCATTGAGAAAATAGTTACGTCTCTGTGCTCTCTTTAGAAAAAATATATGTTCTTCTGCATAGCTGAACAATATGGGAGATGCCAGAGTTATGGGCAACCGAATGTGAAGGAGCCCTTCCCATATGGCTCTAGAAAATAGTATGAGAAGCAGAGCAAACAACACGCTTCTTGTACAGGAGTTTTCAAATGCAGGTAAGAATACACCAAAGGACTGGGAAGCTCTTCACCAGAGGTTATGGCAGGCCTGTCAGAAGGTGAAAGCTATTTCCCAGGAGAGAGAAAACATTTCACATTACTCACATTGGCAGAAGAGCTATGTGATTTTTTTTGACCTTGACTCAGAAATACTGAAGAACTATGAAACACTAAGAACGAGACAGAGTGTTCTGATTTTGCCAGGGTCATGGAGCCAGGGAAGGGAGGAAATGACAAATGATTATCTCTAAAGCAGTCTGTACATAATAGTTCTTATCTTTTAAGAGAGGAATTTGCTTTCAAACTAGGAGCCAATGCTTTAGGAGTCAAAGGAAGCACAGAAGTTTCTCATGTTTGATGCAGCTGCTGTGTTTCAAAGAGGAAGAAGAATTAGACTGCTTCAAAGTACTTGAAACACCCCGTAGGGATTTTCATTTTGTATTGAGATTCTCCAAAAGATCAATATTTAATGGAATAGTACTGCAAACCTCAATTTATAGCACACTGTATCACACTATATTGGATCTTACTGTTGGATTGCTACAATCAATTAAAACAAGCAGCTATATTTTCTTGGATTTGGAGACAATAGAGTATTTTTAATTACAAACCAGCTTTCTCCTCAAGCCCCTCCAACTGACATGATTGTGATCAGAAAGACTGTACTTAGATTCAGAGGAATATAAGGCTTTCCTTTYCTAGTATTTCTTTTAATCTCATGACATTTTTAATGCCTTCTCTGTGAAATATGCAGCATGGAAACACATTATTACATAGTGCCTGAGAGCCTGAGAGCGGATTTATTTTTTTCTAATTTGGGTTGACTATGAAATTCACTCAAGTGATTTCTTTGTCTGCAGAACATATGCAGAAATGTGTATGCAGAAGAGCAGCAGAACTGCCMTATCTTCTTAAACGTGTATAAGTGTCTGAGAAATGTACACTGATATGTAAGCAGGTATAAAAACATAGAAAAAAAGTGCTAATCCAACACAACCAGGTGATACATTCATATCTAATGAAATCAGAAAGTAAAAAAAGTTAAGCTGTGTCAAGTACCTCAGCAGAGCCACACAACAGACAATATCTGCTTTATTACAGCTTGAAGGCAAATGAATCTTTTTTAGCAATGTATTGTTTGATCCACATTTGAAGGAGCTCTGTAACTAGTTCTAGCCGAGGGTGCAGACCTGAACCTACATATGCCATTAGGATTTTCTTTCTGTGCCATGCTTAGTCAACTGTTTTAAAGCACAGTAGATGTACTGTGCAGGGCTTTTTCCTACAAAAAATAGGGCTAAATTAGAGCAATTCAAAATACAGAGTCTCAATCTGATCGTTCTTTCTTCATTTCTATAACATAATTAAGGGTAGTTTTACAGCCTCTTGTTTTCTTCTGGGCTGTTAAGAGAAAATACTTCATTTTCATATTTTGTAGAGTCATATTTTGAACCAGAAAGAAAGAAAGAAAGAGAAAAAAAAAAAAAAGGACTAAAGAAGAAAAGGAAACAGGCTGGAGCAGGTTTTCAACTTTTTCACTGTTCCACTCCACAAGGCTACAAAAGCCACTTTGCAATAGTGGCTGCTTTTCTGCCGGTTCCTCCCAGTTCAGCTCCACCACAGAAGTCCTGCACCGTATAACCAGGTTTACACTAATACTATTGAGGCATAAGGAAGATTCCATGGATTCAAAAATCTTTATGAATATTTTTATTTAATGCTTCCTCTAATTTCTTATAGAAATCAGGAGGGTCTGCAAGGGACTTAGCACAGTTGGTCTTTTATTTGTTTCTAGATTCTACAAGTGTGCAAAGTGAAAAAGAGAAAGCAAAATGATATGAGGTTCAAATGTCAAAATTTGAGTCAAGGGACTGTTTCACCCAATGTAAAGCAACACAGAGGCCACAAGTGAGTCACCAACATGACAGAAAGGTTCATGAAGGAAGACTCTGCTCTTCAATTCTGCTCTCTTATCTTTGTGTTGCATTTGTTAATGTCCCATTCATTCCTAAATATTTTTATTTTGGACACAGAGTCATATGCAAAGAATCACAAAATCCTTAAGGTTGGAAGGGACCTTTAGAAATCATCCAGTTCAACCCCTCTGCACATGCAAGGCCACCTAGAGCATGTGGCASAGGGTTAAGTCCAAGTCGGTTTTGAAGACCTCCAGAGAAGGAGACTCCACAACCTCTCTGGGCAGCCTGTTCCAGATCTGTCACCCTTACTCTTAAGAAATTTTTCCTTAAGTTCCTGAGGAAATTTTGGTGCTTCAGTTTGTGGCCRTTCCCTCTAGTCCTATCACTGTCCACCACTGAAAAGAG